CCTTCCTCTTTTGGTTTTCCCGTACGTTCCGTACCATCATTTGGTACGTTTCGGTCCGACTGGATGCATCAGCCAGGATGTAGGACGTTCCTTTACTTATATATATATATATATATATATATACTCTCCCATCTGACTTCTACCCTGAGTAATTTCTCTCATCCAATCCACTCCGTGTTGAGTCCTTTTTGTGGCTCTTTTCTGGCTGGCTCAACCATGGTTTCTGTCCTTGTTCCTTTTCCTGGTTCCTTCTCTGGCAACCTCACTCAGGGTGCTTCATCCCTCCGTTCCCACACCCCGGCTTCATGCATGGCTTTTGTCTGATCCCTTGGAGGGCTAAGGTACTATCCCCACACATAACATCCATGTTGTCTCACATTATCCATTTCTCATCCATGTCTGTGTATCAGCGTAATTGGAGAATATTCTGTTGTTGGTCTGTCTAGCATGGATTCTCCTCTTCCTCAGGTATCTGATTTTTTACATGGTTGTTTGACAAGGATCTGTCCTTTTCAACCATTGTGGTTATAGGATGGCCCTGCCATTTACCTTTCATTTTTCACATTTTGGCCATGTGTTTTCCTCTTCAGTTATTTCCCTTCCTTCCATATCCTATATTTAATCCCCCTCTGATCCGGATCATCTCCTATATCTGATCTGTGCTTTACGGTGTTATGTGTCATGCACAGCACCCTCCTGTGGATCTCATTCCCATTTGTTTATTTATTGGAATCTGTCCAATTCTCCTGTCATCCTTACCGGTTGGGTTTGTCGGGTTATATGTATTGTGTATTCCTCTCTTTCACCTGAATCTTGCCAATTGTTCTGTATATCGTTCCATCAGATCCTTCACCTCACACTGTACTTGGCTGCTTATTTTTGTTTGGAGGAGATTATCTCCCTGAACTTTTGAGTCACACTACTTGCATCATCTAGCAGTTTCCTGCTCATCCAGATATCTTCTTCCCCTTTAGCTATTCTCCATACATTGGGACAACTCTGAGTGGGTAAGTTATTTCATTTCTCCTTATTTTTCTCAGGGGGCCTACTTTACACGTTATGGATTCTGCTCTGTGGCAAGTGGTGCCTGTCCAAGTATATCTCCATATTTTTTTCAGGGGGGGGGCCTACTTTACACGTTAT